CACTCCAGCCTGAGTGACAGAATGAAACCCTGTCAAAAGAAAAGAAAACAAAAAACAAAAAACAAATCATCAACAACAGAAGAACGAACGAACTCTGGCTGGGTGCAGTAGCTCATGCCTGTAATCCCCAGCACTTTGGGAGGCTGAGGCAGGCGGATCACGAGGTCAGAAGTTCGAGACCAGCCTAGCCAACATGATGAAACTAAAATCTCTACTAAAAATACAAAAATTAGCCAGGCATGGTGGCACACACCTGTAATCCCAGCTACTTGGGAAGCTGAGGCAGGGGAATTGCTTGAACCCAGGAGGCAGAGGTTGCAGTGAGCCAAGATCGCGCTACCTCACTCCAGCCTGGGCAACAGAGCAAGACTCCATCTTGGAGAAAAAAAAAAAAAAAAAAGAACTTCACTGGGCGCAGTGGCTCCTGCCTATAATCGCAGCACTTTGTAAGGCTAAGGTGGGTGGATCACTTGAGGTCAGGAGTTCAAGACCAGCCCGGCCAACATGGCAAAACCCCATCTCTACTAAAAATACAAAAATTAGCCAGGTATGGTGGCATGGGCCTGTAGTTCCAGCTACTCAGGAGGATGAGGCAAGAGAATCACCTGAACTCAGGAGGCAGAGGTTGTAGGGAGCCAAGATCGCACCATTGCACTTCAGCCTGGGCAACAAAGCGAGACTCTGTCTCAACAACAACAACAACAAAAAGCAATAACTCCAGTGAATACTGCAAATGAGGTCAAACAAAAATTTGAAGTTTGAGAGAACATCCTATGGGATCTGTGAACACCGTATAATCTCTCTTTTCTTAGAGTGAGATTAAAAAGTTCAAAAAGGTAGAGGCTCTCTCTTAATCGTACTCCTGAAAAGAGCACTGCAGGGTACCCTATGCACAAGGATGGCTACCTGTCAAAAACACTGTTTCACACCTGGAAGAATACTGGCCCTGTTCCTGCTTTATTTTAGTGTGCCACTCATTGGACAGCAGTCATTCATCAGGAATCTGAGAGCCCTATGAATCTTCAAAGAATGGCTGAGGGTTAGGGGAGAAATGTCTATAAGCCACCTCCTTTTGTGTTTTTGAGACAGAGTCTTATTCTGTTGCTCAGGCTGTAGCACAGCAGCGTTGCTTCAGCTTACTGCAACGCTGATCTCCTGGGTTCAAGCGATTCTCGTGCCTAAACTGAAGCCTCCAGAGTAGCTGGGATTATAGGCGTGTGCCACTACACCTGACTAATTTCTGTATTGTTAGTAGAGACGGGGCTTCACCATGTTGCCCAGGCTGGTCTTGAACTCCTGGCCTCAAGTGATCCACCCGCCTCAACCTCTCAAACATCTGAGACTACAGGCATGAGCCACCATGCCTAGCCAAGGGCTGGATATTTTAGATAGGATTTTTTGTTGGGATAGAAGAAAGAGGCAGTAAGAGACAATGCTGATTTCTTTAAGATCAAAAATAATATATCTCTGATAAAAAGCAACAATTAACTCTAGGAGAAATACACAGTTGGAAGAACGGTACAAAAAAGATGTCATCTGCCAGGGTTCCCCCATTTATATTTCCACTATTCACAGTATTTAGTACAGAGGCAAAGGACCGAATGACTATTCATTGATAAGAACAAGTTGTTTATGAATTAATGAGTGTTCTCAAAATTGGACAGACTGTCAGAATAGGATCCACCACAAGCACACAGATTAGAAGCTTTATCCTTCTCTCCAAAATGGGCATGTGGCAGTTTCTGACACTTGATTAGTACAGTTGTCCCTTGGTGTACACAGGGAATTGGTTCCAGGACCCACAAGGACACAAAAATCCTAGGATGCTCAAGTCCCTTATATAAAATCACATAGTATTTGCACACAACCTACACACATCCTCCAAAATACTTTAAACCATCTCTAGATTACTTATAATACCTAATACCCAATAAAGGATATATAAACAGTTGTTAACTGTACTTTTTTGTTTGTTTTCTGAGATGGGGTCTCACTCTGTCACCCAAGCTAGAGTACAGCAGAGTGATCACAGCTCACTGCAGTCTCAATCCGGACTCAAGTTATCCTCTCAGCTTCCCATATTAATAGGACTACAGGTTCATGTCACCACACTTGGCTACTTTTTTATTTTATTTTTTTTTTGTAGAGATGGGGTCTCCCTATGTTGCCCAGGCTGGTCTCAAACCCCTGGCCTCAAGCAATCATCCCGCCTGGGCCTCCCTAAGTGTTGGGATTACAGAGGTAAGCCACCATTCCCGGCAAGTATTATTTTTTATTGTTGTATAAATAGTTGTTAACTGTACTTTGTTTTTGGAGATGGGGTCTCACTCTGTCACTCAGGCTAGACTGCGGCAGAGTGATCATAGCTCACTGCAGTCTCAATTTGGGCTCAATGTTAATGTATTTTTTCCTGAATATGTTCAATCAGCATTTGGTTGAATCTGTGGGTGTGGAACCTGTGAATACAGAGTGCCAACTATATTTGGTAAGTGACTGATTCAGTATGGACACTGAACAAACAGTCAATGAGAACCCTCTTAAGTCTATAGGATATGGTCCTAAGCCAGTCATTCTCTAAGGATCTGACAGTGTTTAAACTACTAACAAGGTAAGGATACATCAAAAGTCTTCTTTAACAAGTGCTTGTTCTCAAAGCATTTAGAGCATGTCATCTCCATATCCATAAGGGGAGAACTTGGCCAAGAAGGGAAAAGTAAGTATAATGAGCCATACTGAATTGAACAAAGCTGAACAAAGCATCAGACTACAGAAGAATTTTCCTGTAATAACTACACTTCTCTGGCAGAGCCATTTTTAAGATTCTGGGCCCAGCCGAGTGCAATGGCTCACACCTATAATTTCAGCACTTTGGAAGGCCAAGGCGGATAGATCACCTGAGGTCAGGAGTTTGAAACTAGCCTGACCAACATGGAAAAAATTTGTCTCTACTAAAAATACAAAATTAACCAGGTGTGATGGCACATGCCTGTAATCCCAGCCTGCAATCTTAGGAGGCTGAGGCAGGAGAATCACTTGAACCCGGGAGGTGAAGGAGGTTGCGGTGAGCTGACAGCGCACCACTGCACTCCAGCCTGGGCAAGAAGAGCGAATCTCTTTCTCAAAAAAAAAAAAAAAAAAAAAAAAAAAAAAAAAAAAAAAAAAAAAAAAAAAAAAAAAAAAAAAAAAAAAAAAAAAAAGACTTTAGGCCCACTGGATTCACAATGTTAAGTATAGGCAGTGGGTACATTAAAAAAAAAAAAAATCAAACTATATTCCTAAGCTTCTTTTCCTCCTTTACAGATGAAGGAACTGAAACAACTCAAAGAAAACAACTTTCCCCAAGGAAACACCATAACAAGAAGGATTCTATCCATTTATTCATTCATCCCAGAACTACCAGGCAGCAGTCAATTAAAGACATAGATGGCAAATCTAGGTGGCAAGCTGAATAACTACAGATGGTTCAAACGTAAGGTGAATACACATTCTGATTCACCAGCTCTGACTATATGCAGCCAAAGACTTGAGTGTGCAACGCCAATTGGCAAAGAACAATGATGAATGCAATAGACACCAACAATCCACTCCTCTTCTCTTCCCTGACAGCTCTCTTTTAGAAGTAGCCTGCATCCTGATGCCATAGGAGTCACCATCGGAGGTCTTCACCCTAGGTCTAGGTCTGCATATAACTATTGACCTAGAACTTCTGTGCTAGGCAGATCCTTGGAGTAACAGACAATCAAGGATCATTCTTTGCATCAGGATTACCATCTCAGTCACACTCCAAAAGGAAATACTCCAGATGTGTCTTTTTTTTTTTTTTTTTTCAACTACTATCTTTGGAATCTAGTCCAAAAGCAACTGGGCTCTAGTTTTTAAAATGTAATCTGTGCCCATTAAGTTTTCTAGAGAAAGCTTTCCAGCCTTTTTAAAGATTTTCCTCACAACCACTGGTTGGAATGCAGTATGTTCAAAGATAGACTTCTTGTACCTTTCCAAAGTGAAATCATTTGAAACCCTCCCTCCCCATATATAAAAAAATATATCCTTCCAGCATCATTTGACCGAAGTATAAAGCAACCTGGTTGGCCTCCATGCATCCGATGGCATCTTCCAAGAGTGAAAACTCCACGCAGACATAGCCATAGTCGTAACCTGGGGACAGCATTTAAATACAGACGGGAGTGGTGTTAGTGCCTTGCAAACACAAAAGACACACTTAAATCCCCTGTTTCTGAACCCCTTAAACACAAGCCCTCCCAACTGACCCCTCCCTCCCCTACACTAAGTAAAGTTGCTACCCCAAACAGAAAAAAGTACTGAAGGAAAGTCTCGATGTTTCTGGACTTTGAGATTCATTCCAAAATAGCCTTGTCTATTAACCAAGAAGATCCTTTGCCCACTTTTGCACTGGTGATCGGGTGAAGGTACCCTAGAATTGGGTAATCCCACAGAAGGTTCATGTGGGGACCCGAAACATTTTAACCACAGGCTTAATCTTCCAGAAAAACAAAGTCAACAAGAATAAGAAAGTACCTGGAAAAAAAAAAAAAAGTATCCCGAGAGAAGACAAAAAAAGCAATTATCCCCAGGCTATGCTAATAGTCACCACTTTTCAAGCAGAAACCACCTTCAAAGACAGAAGTGCTGACAGACTGAGGCAACTATTCTGTTTGGATACCACAGGAGGCTTCTGGTTGGCAGGGGACAGACCATTTCAGGTCTCCTCTTTTTTCCTTGTTTCAACTCAAGTCATAAACCAGCTAAAATCTTTATAAAAGGAAGAAGGTGTAAAAGCATAAATAAGTACAAATAACTGTGTCTGAAATTGTGCTTATGCACAAAGACTGGTGGTGGGGAAAGTTGGGAGAAAGACAGCAGTTGTTAGCAATCAATACATGTTTAAGAACTGTACAAACCATAAGAGCTATAAAATACCCCTCACCTTACTCCTAAGCATGTGTCATTTGCAGCACAGGCCTGAGTCGCATGACCCATGAGACTGGGAAGTCATGGGATTTATGGGCTGCTGAACTCAAATCTAACCAGTCCTATAATTTCCCTGATACCGCCACCGTGTAACTACAAAAATACACTGGTCAATGCAATGCTCCCCAAGTGGCTTCCATGCTTCCTCCATTGCCTCGGAGGATAAAGAAGCTCATCTCTAGCAACGACACTGTGTAAATGGAACAGCAAGGAAAAGATGTGATTTGTTCAGATGAGAAACAAAACTCAGGCACAGAAAAACAACATAAAACTCTATGATAATTTTGAGCACAAAGTATATAACAATAGGAAACTGGTATCACTGAATCAATGTATCAAAGATCAATAAAACTAAAGCAACAGAAAATATAACTTTAAAAACATACCACATTTGGTGAAATGAGTTAATATTCCTTATCACATGAAATGAATGGCTTTAAAATGTTTTATTAAGAATAAACTTTGATTTTAGACTTGTTAAATACTCCAAGTTTACTATGAAACATTACAATAGTATAGGTTGAGCCTCACTTTGAGTTTCAGAAAGTGACTAGGAAGAAAAACAACCTACTAGAAACCTCAGCACTACTGTAGGATGAGAAATAGATTTTCTAACCTACTTTGACAGCTTTGACCAACATGGATTAAAACTAACCTCTCCAAATTTATCACAAAATCAGTCTCCTCTGCTTAATAACTCGTTGAAGAAATAAAAGTTCTTTAGAGAAACAGTGTGCATATCTTATTAACAGTGGAAACTGTTTTGTTACTTAATTCCTTCCAAGTAAATCTTCTTGATCAAACTCAGTGAACACCTAATACATCAATCACACTGCATTTTATAAACAGCTCTGAATATTCTTGGGAAACATTACAGAATAACAGAAGGAACTAAGGTACCGTTAGCACCAAATATCCACTGCAAACACTCAAATGCATGTCCACAATCAGAAAGGGTTAGTCATGGAAGAAGTAGGTGTACTCTCGAGTGTGTTGATTACCTCTACAGAACATATCAATGGAGTACCCAGGTATATGGAAAGCAACCCTCTCCACAGCTGCCCGGATGAAAAACATGGGGAACTAATACCAAAGCTGGCAAAGCCCTGTTTCCTTTCCGTGCTTAAAGAAGTAACCACTGTGGCCCAGAGGAGCACACAGAATCTGTGGACAGAGAGAGAAAAGATTCATGACAACAGTCATATTTTGCTAAAGGTCAAGTAGACACTGGGAAGGAAAAGATAGAGAAGACAGTATGAGCATCTAACACAGCATTTTTAGACATCAATCCTGCAATACTATATGTTGACAACATACTTCAGATTCATTATTATATTCATAAGCCCAACACTAAATTTATTCCGACTGAAACTTTAGCTATCAAACAAGAACAGAAATTTAAGGTTTAACTACACTGCCTAAAACTTAAGAAAAAAAAGAAAAAAGGCATTTTGTGTGCTCAAGACTCATGGTTGTATCATAAGGATTTTCAGCAATCACCAAAATACACAATGAAATCTTATTCTAGCCAGGCACAGTGGCTCACACCTGTAATCCCAGCACTTTGGGAGGCCGAGGCAGGCAGATCATGAGGTCAAGAGATCACGACCATCCTGGCTAATATGGTGAAATGCTGTCTCCACTAAAAAAATACAAAAATTAGCCAGGTGTAGTGGCACACATCTGTAGTCCCAGCTACTTGGGAGGCTGAGGCAGGAGAACTGCTTGAACCTGGGAGGCAGGAGATTACAGTGAGCCGAGAGGGCGTCACTGCACTCCAGCCTGGGCAACAGAGCGAGACTCAGCTTCAACAACAACAACAACAAAAGATTTTATTCTAAATATACTGACTTAATATTCACAATACTATCTTATGAGGTAAATATTATTAACCTGATTTTAGCCATGGGGAATAAGGCAAAGAAAGGATAGGTAAATTGATCAAAGTAACCAAATAAGTACCAATACTGAGCTTTAAATGCAGCCAGTCCAGATTCAGGTCGGCGTTTTTAACCACTACACTCTAGCCTCTCACTCTTCAGTAAGATTACAGACCAATTTAAATAATCTTAATTCTAAACTCTACAGAGCCTAGTTACAGAAAAGGTCCCATATGCCTGAACACATACATCTATGCCCCTGTTAAAAAAATAGGCCTAGTTAAGAAATATTCAACTTAGCAGTATAATAGTTGCTTCTATTTTAAAATAACTATGGCAGAACTATTGAGAGTAGACCTGAGTATGCAAATTAGAAAATTCTCAGGAGCTGATTATACTAGCTCCCAAAATTCTACTGAAAAGACAAAAACTAATCTTGTAAATGATGGCTATAAAAGTTGCATAGCAATATGAAAAGATACTTGATATAGTATATTTTAAGAACCTTAAAAATGAATATACCCTTATGGATAATTATGTAAAATGTGTATAGAAAAAATGACTGGAATTCAGTGAAACTGCATCTAACTCAGGGGTTAGAGGCAAAAGTCAACATGTGAGACAAAAACCATGCACTGTCAAAATCATACTAGAAGACCCCAAGGTGAAGAACAACATACCATCTTTCAATTTAGGTAAGTCCAACACTGCCAGTTTTTCCTCCAGCGCTGCAACAGATCAGTTTTCCTTTGGTTGACACCAGATGAAGAGGTTGGCTTGCATTTAAGGGCCATAAGGTATGAAAATATATTGCTTTAAATAACAGAATCACAGCCAGCATAGTGAATGCTCACTCAGAGAAACTTAGAAAAGGAGACAAACTGAAGCCACAGGCGAGTCTCATCCTCACTGCCCATGCTCACTCCAGGACTGAGAAAACAGGGTGTGGGAAGAGGGGAGGGGGAAAGAGTTCAAACAAGCACAGGTCGACATACGAAACTCAGAATGAATATAATGCAACACAACTGTATATCAAAACGATTACAGTCGTTGTATTGCTATAGTGGGATAATCAGGGATTTTTTTTTCTTTATTTTCCAAATGTAATTTTATAATTCACAGAAAAGGCACAGAAGATATTCTACCCAGAGACCTAACATTCTAAAAACAACCAACCACCTTGAGATCAGAATTGCTAGGAACCATATGGAATCATTAAGACAGTAAATTCAGTATTAACCTTCCCATGGATAGATTTATTTTTACCAATCAGATTTTATTACCTTTTTCTTCCACTGTCACTTGCTGGGAAGAAGTCTGGTGGGTATTTGTGCTTATTTATATGACTTTTAAAAGCACAGCTAACTAAATTTTCTAATCTAAATTTACAGATCTCACAGAAATATGAATTCCCCTTATACTTTTTTTTTTTTGAGACGTTGTCTCTCTCTGTTGCCCAGGCTTGAGTGCAATGGCGCGCAGTCTTGGGTCACTGCAACCTCCACCTCACAGGTTCAAGCGATTCTTCTGCCTCAGCCTCCTGAGTAGCTGGGACTACCACGCCCAACTAATTTTTGTATTTTTAGTAAAGACGGAGTTTTGCCATGTTGGCCAGGGTGGCCTTGAACTCCAAAGCTCAGGTGATCTGCTCATCTCAGCCTCCCAAAGTGTTGGCATTACAGGCATGAGCCAACATGCCAGGCCTCCTTATACCTTTTTTTTTTTTTTTTTTTTGGCAAATGAGAAGAATGAGAACAGGGCAAGGGAAGAAAAACCTATAAAGGTAACAATAAAATTTCACATCTTCTCTATCTTCATTAACCATGTGGTTGTCTGTTTCTGAAAACTGTATCTGTGATAAATGCCAACCAGGTGGTTATAAGAGAATAAGGTACACGAAACAAAACCCTGATAAATAATATTCTATCTCAGAACCAACTCTTCAGTCTCTGCCTCTGGAAAAGCTGACTCACAAGATGCTGACAAACATAACCCTGTATGGTTTAAGTCAATTATGAGTCTATAACAGGCCTAATTTTCATAATAATTATAAGGAATATTTGTTTAGGCAAATGAGATGGACCTTCAAACTGTTCTAGGAAAACCCAATTAACATACCCAAATCCAGTTGAATTTCCCATCAAGAGAGTACTGGTTGACACTGGAAAAGCCCAGAATACACATCCAGAAAGGAAAAGGAGGAATCAGGATTTTAAAGAACTTAAGTAGTGGGCTGGGCTCAGTGGCTCTGGCCTGTAATCCCAGCACTCTGGGTGGCCGAGACAG